CATCAACCACAGAACCATCCAACCTACCAACCAAACCCCTGAACTAAACCCAAGAACGAACAAGGAAATACATCTACAAACAATAACGAAACATGCATACTGACATGAAACCAAACATGACACACCGACATAGAACCAGAACCCAACGTACCTGAAACAATGACCGACACTGACAAACTGACACAGACCAAACTATAAGCAGACACTAACGAACTAAACACCAAACAGGTGAGAAACCAACACAGGTGTAGAACATAGTCCCTGATTAATTTCTACTCCTAGCTGGGAGGGGGAGTGTCAACCCTGGCATGAAGGGGGACAGAGGCAGTTCGTTACACACTTCAAGATGATTTCTGGATGCGGTTTTGATATGATTAATTAAACTACAGCCCCTTTCACAATCTGCACTGGAAGCTTGAAATGTGGCACAGATACCCACAAGCTGTGAGATAGTCCAACTTCCACTCAGTCCACATTTTTCCTTCTGAAAACTCGCTTGCTACTTTAACTTTGCAGCATGTTTTGGAGAGCAGACCTTTCTAACTTGAAAAAGAAAAGATTTCAATAAGTTTCACCGATTTCTCTTTAGATTGAACAAACCCTGACAGCCATTCCATCTTAAAAGAAGAACGGCATTTGTTTTTAGTTTAGCTTGGTGTCTTGTGCCACTGGTACTGCACTGTTCGCTATCTAACCAGCCAAACACCTGCCCCGTGGCGCGCATGGACAGTGCACATACACATAAAGCGCTGTCAATTCCATTGATTGGCTGCGTAAGTGAACCGCAAAATATCATTGGCTGGACACCTGTCACTCACATTGCAAAATAGGACAGAATAAATTGTTAGGCGTTCAATTTATTTACAGTTCATGTTGGATTTAATTTTATGCGCTGCTTAGCTTTTCTTGTGCGTGCAGAACGCGCGAGCAGTGCGCAATCGCGCAATTGTGCACGGCGCGCAGCTTAGAGGGAACATTGGTTACGTGAGTGTTGTGTGTTACGTGTGTGTTACGTGTGCGTTATGTGTGTGTTACGTGTGTGTTACGTGTGTGTTACGTGTGTGTAACGTGTGTGTTATGTGTGTTATGTGTGTGTTATGTGTGTGTAGGTGTGTGTAAGTGTGTGTTATGTGTGTCCTGTCGGTATGTTGAATTTTAGTAGTCGCTATCACACTTTATTTTCAATTCAGTGTATGGTTTTGTTCGTTGTGCTCGTTTATTTTTATTAAATCACCTCGATGAGATTCAGCTCTGAATTTGGTTCCTTTCACCCTGCACTACTCCTCACTTCGTGTAAGGGTCTATAAACATTCTGAATGCCCTGTAAGGAATGTGATTCCGGGCATTTCCTTTATTTTATGTTAGATGAGGTAAATGACTCCTCTAGCAGACTTTTAGCAACCTTGTCATTTATTGTAAAAAAAAAGAAGAACTCACACTGTTAAAGAAAGAACTAAAGTTAACCTAAAACCCACCTATCAAGACAACATAAAGATTGTAATACGATTAGATAAGTCTAAAGTGAACCTTTTTAAGCCACATGGTCTCCGCATTACACAATTATTTAATCTAATTCAAAGGTCAACCATGGTGCTGGTAGTGTGATGTTTTTGAAATCATTTTGGTGTACGAGATTCAAAAGACTTGCGAGCAGTCAATAAGAAGTGAGTGTTGACATTTTAATACAAAGGAACCAACGGTGCGGTAACAGCTCACAACACCAATGAGGGATAGAACCCAAGTGGATATTTCCGTGGACCCTGTCAAGAACAAAAGAACCCATAGCCTGTGGTCATAGTTACAGCGACAGTGCCTGGCGAGATATAGCCTTAGTGGACAGTTAGTTCCACATGTAAGCAGAGTGCCAAGGTAGAAGCAGGCACGCTGGACACCTGTTTGGCATTGTGAGGACGCCATTCAACTTGTGCGCGAGCATGAATGTGCTCTCTATAACCTGTCGTGACTGACCAAAACTTACCTTTGTTCATTAAATAAATAGAGAAAGATCCTTGTTATTTCTTCTCACACGTTTCTTTTCTTTGATGTGTTTTGTTCGAATGTCTGGAACCTTTTTCTCTCAGGAAAGTTCAAATATCGAGAACATTTCTAAAAGGGAACACATTATTTTTCACAGCAGTGCATGCAACAGTCTTAACAATTGTGAGAGTTGAAAGTTGTGTGTTTTAATCCTCCAACAGATGACGATGTTGTCAATAGTTTATTGTATTTTCTTTTACTATCTATAGGATAATTCAATGGCAGGCAACACTGTTGCGTAATGCTTTGAGCTGAGGCAAGGGTTCTTGAATCAGTAATATTGTTTATACGGTATATTCAGACTTGGAATTACGACTTGAATTACTTTACAAAATTATTGTTCTCTATCAGAGCCTTTTGTTTATCCAGTTGACTTTAAAAGCACTGGTCAAAGGTCAGAGTTTCTGCATTTCTCTCTTGTTTGGTCTAACCTGTCTCACCAACTCCCTGTGCATACGTAATTATTTTTGGTTTCAGTTATGAATTCCAAGCTTTGAGGAAAAAGTGTTTGATCATATCCAAGTAGTTTACATTTATAATTTATGCTAGTAGAATAAAGCTAACTCTGCTATTTTTTGCTTAAACATAGTTACATGCAACACTGAAAATATTCACTTGTTTGTTGCATATACACTCTGAAGTTGTACTACACACACATCGAACCTTGTGGGACTCTATGGGACATAAAAGTGATTGTGCAATTAACTAATCAAATCATAAAACTGCATTGTTCCCAATCTCACAGTTGCTCAGCATCTATTTCTCATCCCTCTGTCAGCCCTCTATCTGTAGTTTGGGGTCCTATCTCCTTGGTACTTCTTCCTTGGTCAGCAGATGTGTTCTGTGATCTGAGGAACAGGGTGTTTGCAGGATACATATATTGGTGTAACACAACCGCTGGTTTAATTCTCCCGCAGTGTGGCAGGAGGCAAATAACCGAGAAAGGACGGGGCAATCATTTATATGAGAGGTTACCTTATTCACTTATTTAAAAACATAGACGTTAGCTGGGTAACTACTGAATTAACCTAGCCAAATAATGTTCTACTTCCATTGCCAAAAAATGGCTGTATACACCAAAAATAATGACCACTCACAGGTCAAGGGCACATGTCATGGTCTGGGTAAGCGAAGATGGTAAGCGACCAATCAGTAGTCAACACATGGATGAAGGAGAAATAGGACCTGATTTTGTTATGGTCTTGGGACAAGCTCAGAGCATCTCAAAAGCAGCGATGCTTGTGGGGTGCTCCTTGTCAGCAGTGTTAAGAACCTCCCGAAAGTGGACACACCATAAACCAGCAACAGGGCGCCCAAGGCTCACTGATGGGCAACAAAGGCTATCCCATCTGGTCCCAACTGACAGTAGTTTGACTAAATAAATCAAAACGGTCTACTGTGGCGCAAGGCACAGAAAATTTTAATAATATTGGTTACAGGAGATTCAGAACAACTTGTACATAAGTATGTCCTTGCAAATGTGTTCACGCAAAATTTCACATTCAGTTTTTTGTTCGCAGGCAATATTTCACATTTTCGTAAAGAATGATCTGGTGTACATTCCAGGCTCAAAGAAAGACGTTATGTGAAATATTGCTTGCGAACACGAACTGAACGTACTACACGAAGATAAGCTTGCAAGTACAGCTCTAAATTTATGACCACAGAAGTGTAGACACATGTGCACAGACATTTGACTGGTTAAATATGACATATGTATGGGACTGCATAGCGGTCGCATGATGACCCCTGTTTCTCAGTCGAAACCCCCAAAAATTGACCCAAGAACATTGGTACTGGCGCTGTGGAAGCAGGTCGTCTGGTCCGATGAGTTCAATTACGTGGATGGCCGTGTACGTGTTCACTGTAAACCAGGAATGTGATGCACTGTGGAAAGACAACAAGCCGAGGGAGTGTGATGCTTTGGGCGATGGGGCAATGTTCTGCTGGGAAACCCTGGGTCCAGGAATTTATATGGACATTGTTTTGACCCGGGACACCTACTTTATCATTGTGGTAGACCAAATACACTCATACATGGCACTGGTATTCCCTGATGACAATTCGCCCTGCTACACTGTACACAGTATTCAGGAATGGTTTGGGCAACATGATACAAATGTAAAGAATCAATTAATATAGATTAAACAGTTTATTGATGATGGAAAAGATGGTGACGCCTCCCCACTTTCTGCCCCAAAAGTTTTAACTTCTTTTCAAAACGTATTCTACAACAGTTTTACAATCAGATTAAGGTTCACATTTAATCCTGAAGATCTTTAGAGTTTTACACCATTTTGGCTTTAGCTGAAGTGCATATCGCTCTCAAGGTGATCGTCGCAATTCTCCAGGTGCCCATCAAAGGTTTCATCACATCAACCAGAGTCTTACGGTGCTCTTCGTAGTTTTTATCAGACTTTTAAGCCAAAGCAAAGCTCGCTGCTTTGAATTTAAAAAAAGGACTGATGATGGAACACCCCATTTATCATGAGAAGTTGTTCAGAGAGTTTCAGTCCTGATGTGCTTGTGTGTAACATACTGTCCCAGTGCCACTTACACACGCTGAGAAACGCTTGTGCATGACAACACATGCAGAACTCAAACAAATGTGTCAGAGCTAAATAGATGGGTTTATTTGCCATCAGGGGTTCCTGTACAACTTTATGGAGAATAAATAGCACCAAGATCACCATAAAATCACCATCAAGATGAATTACATTCTGTGAACAGAACAACTCACTTTATGATATCTCGTTACTAAACTCTTTACAGTATGTTTTGGTTGACAGTTAGTTTGTTGAAGGGTCCCTTTTTAGTTTGAAAAGTTGTTCAGATGTACCAGCATCTAGAAAAGTTATATTGCCAAAGACTGGGCCAAAAAGTAGTCTGTTAGATACAATTATTTATTTATTTAACCAGGTAGGCCGATTGAGAAAAGAATTCTCATTTGCACCGGCGACCTGTGGAGAAGCTGTGGATTGAATCCAGGACATCATAGTATACAAAGCATGTACTCTACCACTGAGATACACCAACTCCTCCTGTTTAACACATGCCGAAAACAATCCTGCGCTGAAGATGTAATAACGATTGTCTGGTCTGATGTGGGTAGGCAGGAACATTCAGTCACTGCAGTATGTGTCACTTATGAGAATTTATGTATTTTTTCTCAGTCATTGACAAGCGTGCAACAATTTTTTTACTAAAATCTAAAAGCATTGAACTGCATGTATGGATGCAGAATAAAAACATGTACAAAGTGTTTAATCAAAAGGAGTTGTTAATAATCAAGGAGGACTGCAAATAAAATTGCCGCACATACAGTATATTGAAATGATGTGACTAATCTGTGCAAGAGAATTACTAAACGAAAAAAATTACAATCATGATGGGGAAATTATTGAAAGTACTTTTCAGCAAATGATGTGCAGAAGTACTATACTCTCTTTTCTTGAGTCAAGGGGCTTTTGTTAAATAAATACCGCAAACAAGTTATCAGAATCTGCATCTGGCCCATGTCTGCACTACACCAAGCGATCCGTGACAGCCTGGTTCCTACTAGCAGAGAACAAGGTTTTGAATCCAATCGCAGAAAGCGACATATTTTTATTGACAATGTAACGGTAGGCAGAGGATGGTCAGATACGTGGGTCGATACCGGGAGATCAGAGGCCGAACGAAGTACCAGAGGAAAGGCGAAGGCAGGGTCAGGTAGACAGGCAGGTGGTCTTCAACTGGGATCGCTGGGAGGCACAGAATAGGATTATGCAGAGACGGGTAATCAAACAGGCTAGGATCTGGTACACAGGAATTCATATAACGGACTTTCATTTAACTCTCAGTAGTTTGGCAAACAAAACAATACCTCGCGTTATCTCTACGACACTAGGAACACTATATCCCCTTCTCAATCACCGATAGGTGTGTTTCAAAACTCAGGTGAGTTAGATCGTCTCTGATTGCTCTCCTCCGCAGAACGAGGAGCTGTCAAACCTGGCATAGAGGGAGACAAACCTCTGATTCTTATACCAGGATTTGTGACACCTATGCACTTAATATATAAAAATATTGTTGATAAGCTGGAGACTAAATTGAGTTATGAATTAGTCATGTATTTATAAATGTCACAACTCCCCCTGACGCTACGCTCTCTTCAACAACAAGGAGGCTTCGGCAAATGACATCACCGGCCTTCGAGGCACACCTCTCCTCCCCATCACATCATTGTGTTGTCATTACGCACACCTGGTGCCCATTCCCTCATTTTGAAGTGTAAATATGTTCCCTATGTTTGGGCGTGTCTTTGTATGGTATTGTTACGGGTTCTTGCGCTGAGTGTCAGTGAGACCGTTGTTTGCAGTTTCTTCCCGATTGAGCTATATCGCTGCATTTGTTTTCTCTATATAGTACAAAGCAGTTGTTTTGTTGTCTACTGCTTTACGTTAAGCTGCTGAGCGTAATCGCTCTGTGTTTTTGTGTGTTCATTCGGTTGCGGGAAATCGATATCCGTCATGCAGCGACTGATGTGCCTGGCTTGCCTCTTTTTTGTTCTCTGTTTTAATATGAGACACTTTCTTTCAAATATCCATAACTTAAGGGTAACCTAGAAGAAGATAATTATTCAAGAACAGATATTATACATTTCAAATAAAGCAAACTAGATGAAAACTGTTGCAACAATTTGGTCTGTTCAAATCATCAACATAAATGTTTCCGAAATTAATTCACAGAAGCCCATTACAAAGAGCACGGATAATATATCTTATTTGTTTTTTTCTCAATGTTCACTGAATTCCTAGTTGCTGTAAAATATTTTGAGTTTTCAAAAAATCTCTGGGAGCTCATTCATCAATCACGTTTAACCAAATATGCAAATTGCTATGGTAATGCACGAGTACTCAGGCTAAAACAATTGACATTTATCAATGAAGATCTCACGCTGGATCTCACACTAAGATTGTTAGATAAATTCAAATGTACATGCATATGCATTCGGATTGTAAATACAAATGTGCAAGCCCTTAACAAAGAGTTACAGTCAGTCGTAATGGGTGGTTAGAGATAAAACGTAACACGTATCTGAAATCCAAAATACTATATCTGACTCAGAAGAAAACAGCAGGTCTTGTCTACTATAATCAGAAGGATACTATAATGAATAGTACACACAATTATACACACAAATCAAGCAGAGTCTATTTGGTTACCTCCCACTTTAAGCTTGGATGGGTTGGACACTTTAGGGATGCCCTCCTACGCACAAGGGTTATGAACAGTGGTCGTTTTGGTATTTGTGCCTTTTCTGTCAGCTTGAATAAGTCTGGTCATTCTCTGGACCTTTTCGTTAACTGGGTGTTTTTGCACAAAGAACAGGTGCTCAATGAGTGTATTTATGGCACCATTCTCTGTAATCTAGAGCGACTGTAATGTGTTCTAATCCCAGAGGTGAACCTCCAGCACAATATATACAGTATACGTGTTCGCTGTTCGATCGTTTTCATTTGCAAGCGGAACTTTTTCATTAGCTCAAATAAAAGATGCCAGCAATATGCAAAACAAAACCATATATATCTTAAATGTTGATTACATCCCTGATTGGGAGCATTTGTCCATTTACCAAGATAATCCATCTTCCTAACAGGCACGTCACAGAGCTGATTAAACAACATTGCACTTAATGCTTAGGAGAAAATAGATCCTCTGGCAATCGTCCAATAAAGCTTCTGCCAGGGAACTCACTGTTAATGTGTCTACCAGAAGCGTGCTCCAACTCTGTCATTAGAGAGCGTGGCAGTCCAAGAGGCTTTACAGAGTACATGTTAGAGAGCGTGGCAGTCCAAGAGGCTTTACAGAGCACTTGTTAGAGAGCGTGGCAGTCCAAGAGGCTTTACAGAGTACATGTTAGAGAGCGTGGCAGTCCAAGAGGCTTTACAGAGTACATGTTAGAGAGCGTGGCAGTCCAAGAGGCTTTACAGAGTACTTGTTAGAGAGCGTGGCAGTCCAAGAGGCTTTACAGAGTACATGTTAGAGAGCGTGGCAGTCCAAGAGGCTTTACAGAGTACATGTTAGAGAGCGTGGCAGTCCAAGAGGCTTTACAGAGTACATGTTAGAGAGCGTGGCAGTCCAAGAGGCTTTACAGAGTACATGTTAGAGAGCGTGGCAGTCCAAGAGGCTTTACAGAGTACATGTAACTACACCAGCTCAGGATGTGGAGAACGTCTGAAACATCTGGATGCCTAATGTTGGCAGAATTTATTTGCCCCCATGGTAACACCCAATTTCCATCTGCAGGTGTCCTTTAGATATCGATACTATCAACAAATAATCAACAAACCATATGTTTATAAGCAACTGTTGGCTTAGATTATGGTGATCTTTAGATTAAAATTTAGAGTGTTCTGGTTAGGGCTGGCATTAAGGTTAATGAAAGGGTTATTGGATAGTTAATGATATTGAGTAGAACATCCGCAGACACACATTTGTGACTCTCAAAGAAAAAAGAAACTTCCCCGCCCTCATCACTTCCTGTTTCAGCATGATATTACACAGCCCAAAGTCACAAGGACCTGTATACAACTCCTAGAGGAAGACATTGCCCCAGTTCTTCCATGGCCTGCATACAAACCAGACGCCTCACCCACTGATTCTGCCTGGAATTATCTGGACTGACGTGCAGGACAGTGTGTTCCAGTTTCTGCCCATGTCCAGATACATCACACAACCATCAAAGAAGAACGTGCCAATATTCCACAGGCTACAGGCAGCAGCCTTGACTGATTTGAGGGAATGGTGGTCACAGCAGATATTGACAAATGCAAGCCAACACACAGTAAAGTCAGAAATGACCGGTACACGCTGAAGGATGTGATCGTGGGTTCTGAGAACCAGGGTGTAGATGCAGCAAACGTTCACACTCATTTATTCATGGGCTGATCAGAAGGGAAAGATAAAACTCAAGGAGAAATTAATATGAATATTTAGTGAGAGACCCTATTATGATTACTGTACTCTACACGACAGAGACTCTGAAAGGCAGTAGAACAGCATTAGTTTGAGCATCCCTCAGAGACTTTCAAGGAAGATAGATATAACCCATTATATTTCATCCCAGAGACCCAAGGAATGTACATCTAACATATAACAAGGCCACGAGAGAGTAATTATTGTGGGAATGTATGCCTGTTAGTGTGCTTGTATGGATTAAATTAGTATGCGTGATATCTTGTTTATAGCGCTGATGCAGGAAGATTGGATTAGCAATTAAGGAGGAAAGGTTTACGCGGAGCGTTGTTGAGAATTCCAGAGAGCTAACGGGAAGCATGTAATACTGAGTGTGTAGATTTAGTTTTTTTGTCTGATGTGGTTTATTACTAGGGATGCACCGAAATGAAAATTCTTGGCCGAAACCGAAAACCGAAAAAGAGGAAACCAAGACCGAAAACCGAAACACCGAAATAAATTATGCCAATTATTAGTACCATTGCATTTATGGATATGAGGCACCAAGGGCGTAGGTTTGGTCTCAGCTTGGGTGGGGACATCTCCCCCCCCCCTCCGGCAAGTGAACTTTTACTGAGAATAATGTGATTATTTTTGCGTTTAGTTTAGACAATAGCCTGTTGCTTTTATACTACACTAAAGTTTAACTAGCATAGGCCTATCCATGTGCAGACAAAAATAATTATGTAGTACCTGGCGTTCAACTTTTAGATGGTAATGCTGTTTGTCAGATTCAATATATTGTAGCGACCCTGGTGGTGCCACTACTCCGCCCCTACTAATGGGATATCCCAAATAGGCCACATTACATAAGCAAAATATACACAGGAAACATTTCCACTGTTTATTGCGACTGTAAGATTCTAACATATGGGGTATGTATTAACAGAAAGCACTGGTAACTTTACTGTTGTCTTCAGTCACTCTCCTGTGTACTTATAGCGTGTCAGATAACTCCCCTCCCCTAGGTTTTTTAGCCAATCAAATTACGGCGTTTCTAGTACCGTCCCCCTGGCTCTGCGGTCGGAATTGACCCA